ACAGGGAAAGGAGAGGCGATATTGATCAATGGCTACAATCTCAGACAGGTGGAATATATTCTGGTATTCTATTGCACAGCAAGGTTACTATAGTTAATAATAATATATATTTTGAAATAGCTAAAAGAGAATTTTAAATGTTCTCACCACAAAGAAATAACAAATACTTGAGATGATAGATATGCTAATTATCCTGGTTTAATCATTTCACAATGTATACATATATCAAAACATCACATTGTACCCCATAAATATACATAACTTATCAACTGGAAATAAAATAAAACTCTAAAAGCTTTTAAAATAAAAAGGATTATTATAATTAAAGGTTGATGTTCTCAATGAAAGCTACAATCTATAAAAATTATTTTATCCAAGTTAAATCTGTTAGCTGTACATTTAAGGAATCATCCACTGCTGTCTTCAGAGTAGTATAGGTATGTGAAGGTTTAGTTTTAGCGTTTCATTCGATCATGCACTTGCAGACTGAGTTTAAAGGGTAAAGATCAAATTTGGTCCAACTGATCTCATTTAACGGTTCATGCGAGAAGCTTTAGTTCACATTTCTCCACTTGTTTTGCTTGAGCACTTCCAAACCGCATAGGTCTGATGGCACTGCCACCCTCACATCCAACGTATAGATAGATAGAAAGGGAAATGATCACTGGGAGGAAAATTAAGGCGTGGGTCGTACATCAACTCTGCTTAGCTGGCATCCAAACACATAATTCACATTGCTGCTGGAAAGCCTCCAGTGATTGCTTCACCGTTACAGATCAATTGTAGAAAAGTCTGTAGCTTCATTAGAAGCATAATTTAGGAAGCGTGTGAACATTTGGGATTCAAGCCCCACTAACAAAATGTACAGTAATTAACCCATGAGAAATTAAATCTCACTTTATGGAATATTTATACACATGTTGTTTTAAATTCCTTCTGAAGCCTGTCCAAGAAAAGTATATGCCAAAGAATCAAAAGGCAATTTAACCAACCTGACTCCAGACCACCACCACCACCACCACTCAATCCTGAGGATAGCCCCTTAGCATTCGTTACTGCTGAATGTGAAACGTCCCAAAGCGATTACCCATTAAGTGAAATTAAGTGAAATGCCCATTTTAAAAAAAGATTTGTCCACTATTAGATCATTTAAGATTTACTATACATTAGTATACATAGCCATGGAGTGTTTGTGTGATTTTCTATATGTAGCTGCTTAGACATAGGGCTACTGCAGTCACATTTCCTGTTTGATTCCCATAGTAGTGGTGAGCTAACTACCTGGAAAAAACAGTTCCGTCTTTCTTCACCCCAGGCATATTCCTTATCTCCAGGCCTGATTTTACCAAGGCGTAGGCAAAGAGATTGGAAAATCCATCAAAACCAAGGCAAGTGGCCAGCAGTGGTGGCTCACGCTTGCTGTAATCCTAGCACTTTGGGAGGCCAAGGAAGGAGAATCGCTTGAAGCCAGGCATTGGAGGTTGCAGTGAACTTTGATGATGCCACTGTACTCCAGCCCGGATGACAGAGCAACACCTTGTCCCAAAAAAGAAACAGAAAAAGAAAGAACAAAAAAACTAAGGCAAGAGCTATCACATCACAATGTTATAGACAAAGATAGGTAATGTTTCACACAGGAAGAAAGGCTCTGATTAGATATTGTAGTGTAAATCTGGTCATAGAGGCTTGTAAGGAAACTTAGAGGGCATCTCATTCACTCCGATACAACTCAAACTTAGAGCCTTGAATCTTGCCTTTTGTCATTCATATGTAAAACTTTCTCTTATTAGAGAGCAGTATGAATGCATATTGAATCTCTATCACAATTCAAATCCACTAAACACATTGCTTAACAGTTTAGCCCCAAAGCTAAGTTTCACTCCTAAACTAAACAAGAACAAAAGCTGAGACTTCTGACTTTGAAAAGCAGCCTTGAGGCGGGGGCGGAGGCTCTCGCAGGTAATCCTAGCACTCCGGGAGGCCAAGGCAGGAGTATTGCTTGAGCTCAGAAGTTCCAGGAGTTAAAGACCAGCCTGAGCAAGAGCAAGACCACCACCACCACCAGCCCGTCTCTACTAAAAATAGAAAACATTATCCTGGCGTCGTGGTGAGCATCGTGGTGACCAGCCACTTGTCAGCCTGAGGTGGGAGGATTGCTGGAGCCCAGGAGTTTGAGGCTGCAGTGAGCTCTGATGACACCACTGCCATCTAACCTGGGCGACAGAGTGAGACTCTGTCTCAAAACAACAACAACAAAAAAAGGGCAAAAAAGATCATTGTAGCGTTTGTCTCCTCCTTCCTGCTTGGCTCACCCTACGGTCTTGAAGAAAGGTATTCTCTCTACATGGGGCAAGAAAGGTCCCAGCGCTCTGAGCTCTGAGCTTGTACAAGGCTGTCCCTTGGGAGCTTCAGGGTCAGGCTGCCGGTGGAGCTGCTCCAGGTTGGGGCCTTTGATTCTTCACTTGGCCACTAGTTCCTGCTCTTCCCGTCTCCTCTGGCGCCTCACGACTTTCTTTTCTCTGTGTCCTTTGTCTTAAATTTTTCTCTGGACAATATCTTCAGCTTTAGAAAGGTTTCACTAATCCCTTCTGAGCTTCATCTTAAGAGATTTATAAGTTAATATTCTCATTTCATATTCACGAATTCTGACTATTACAAATAACAGCATATTTTACCGTCTTTACACACAGTAACATATACTCATAGTCATTCTTAAACTGGGGAGTGATCTTTACAAAGAGTTTGGGGAGTGGTCAAGGTTTTGGTGGGTGAGGGTTTTTCAGTGTCTACAGTTCTAGCGGTTGAGAAATTATATCTTACACCTAACGATATAGGTGAGATTAAATTTTTCTTTTTCTCTTTTAATGAAATTGACATTTTCACCATCATGTAAATAAAATCCTTTCAACATATGATGATTTTTTGAAATGATAATCTTGAAGCACTATTGTTTTCCCTGTTAGATACACCCAGTTGCTTTGCGCTTTCCCCATTTGTCTTTCCTATACTTAGGTGTGAACTCTTTTAGACAGGAATAGGTCTCTTTTAATGGATTCTGGCCAATGAGCAATAAGGACTATCCTATGTACACGTAGACATGTAGCAATACTTCCTCAGGAGGAGGAGGGGACTGGCTAATGTTGACTGTGAGCTTACTACCAGTGAGGTATTATTGTAAGATCTATGAATGGAATCAATTGATTCATTCCTCATGAAGTATTATTAGCCCCATTGTACAGATCAGTAGATTGAGTAATCTAAGTCACAAAGCTTGATAGTGGCTAGTAATGAGAAACACACACAGAGATGTATCTTCATTTCCTTTATCATTTCTTCAATAACTAACCAATTTCCTCAACAAAGGCTCATGTTCTCCACTGATATAATCTTACAAAATCAAATAATAATAAAACAAAAAATAAGAGCTGAATCCTTCCCACTGGTCCAAGAGCCACAAAGTCCACAGTTTTCACTATAATTTCCAGTTCATTTGTTAGTTTGCAATATATTCCCCTGACTTTAGAAATACTTAAATGGATTGTATTCAAAAATAAATGTGACTTTGCCTGATGACAGCAATGGTGGGCAAAGATCAAAAAAAAGAAAGAAAAGGAAAATAGAGAAAAAAACAAAAATAAATCTGACTAGATATTTTGCAAGTATTTTTACCTTTTAATTAAACTAATCTCTATTTATCAGAGGTGGTTGGCTTGCAGATACTGTTTTTTTTTTTCTTATTTTTTTAATTTTTTATTTTAGTGTATTATGGGGGTACAAGTGTTAAGGTTACTTATATTGCCCATGCCCCTCCCCCTCGAGTAAGAGCTTCAAGCATGTCCATCCCAACCTTGCACATCTTACTCATTGTGGTTGTATATACTCATCCCTCTCCCCCCTCCACCCTCCGACACCTGATAAACGTTACTCCTATATGTCCACTTCGGTGTTGACCCGTTAATACCAATTTGCTGGTGAGTACATGCGGTGGCAGATACTGTTAACATATGATTCTTTCTTACAAGTCTCTCTGCTGCAGAGAAAATTATGTGTAATATGCAAAGGCAGTAAGTAGGAAAAACCAAAATCAGACATCTTTTTAGATGAATGCTATTAGCTATCAAGACTTTCCAGGCCGGGAGCAGTGGGCTCAAACCTGTAATCCTAGCACTCTAGGAGGCCAAGGCGAGCGGTCCTTTGAGCTTAGGAGTTCAAGACCAGTCTGAACAAAAGCAAGACCTGTCTCTACTAAAAAAATAGAAAGAAATTAGCTGGACAACTAAAAATATATAGAAAAAATTATCTGGGAATGGTGGTACATGCCTGTAGTCCCAGCTACTTGGGAGGCTGAGGCAGCAGGATCGCTTGAGCCCAGGAGTTTGAGGTTGCTGTGAGCTAGGCTGATGCCATGGCACTCACTCTAGCCTGGGCAACAAAGTGAGACTCTGTCTCAAAAAAAAATAAAAAATAAATTTAAAAAATAAGACTTTCCAAACACCATTTTAGTTAGCCCCTTAACAAATAGATTTTGCAAACATGAATAATATATTTCTTTGAATTTCTTTATGAAGATGTGATGAAAACATAGTCTCTAGTCATGAACAATTAGAACTTGAAAGTGAATCCTGTTTCTAAGAATAAAGAATAAAATAAAAATCACCCATAACCTCAACATTCAAAAATCACTACTCATCATGTCAGTACATTTCCTTCCAGACTTTTTTTCTACTTTTTAAAAACACAGTATATAGGTTCAAGCTATCTTTGAAAACTCTAAGTTTATTTAGACCATTTATTCAAAAAGTTTGTCCCCTCATCCCCAGAAAAAAAATCCTATTGTCTTCCTGTCCTCCTGCAATGTATCCATCCCCTTCAAAGGTGGCTCAAGTCATTTACAGAAAAAACAAATGAAGCTTTAGCCACTCTGCTGTTTCCCTTCCTATTTGGAAGATAAATTCTTTAATAAAAATTAAAGATTAAGAAAACCTTCAGTGATTAGCATGTAGCCTCTTATTTCCAAAGGTGCCTTAGTATTCTCAGGTGTTAGTTCTTAGTACAAAGGTACTTGCAATGAAAGGATCAAGCTTAAGACTTCTCTGAATCTATGTTCTACATCTCTGTTAATGGCCTTCCTGGTGTTAGATATTTGTTTAATGATCAATAGTGGTTTCCAGTCCTACCACTGTGTTTTTCATAAAGTAGCATAACGAAGTCAATGTTTAACTGGATTCTTTGGGTCTGAAATGGCAAACCAGGAGTTGAAGGGACATCTCCATAGAAACCAGCCTCCCAGGAAGTGGCCAGAGAGGTTAGTGTGTACTGAAACAGAACTAGAAAGATGTCATGAAGGAAAGGACTGCTTTATAAAGCTGGGGTAAACTTCTGAAATACCTTGATTAAAACAAGCTACATGAAAGGCCCACAAACCACTTTTCCCTCATGGTTTTCCTCTAAATGTCTTTCACGTGAAATGGGCCTGAGCCACTCTAAGGCTCACCCTAGGGTGACCAAAGTAGCACCTTTGCAAAACAAAGAGGAAGAGACTCCCTTGGCTGGCCCTGTGGACGTCACATTCAATCAGAATCTGCAAGAAAAGACTTCATATTCGTTGGCAAGGCTGCAGGACCAGAATAAAGCTTTGGAAGGGCAGCTGCCACCTCTTCGAGAAACCCAGTATGGAAGATATTTTGCAGGTAAATGTAAAACTCAGTATGAGATTTGTGTATCTGGATCTAAGGAGAGCTATTGATTTACCTGACTGTCTCCATAATCTCAGAAAGTTTCTAAATTACTGAAACGTAAAGGAGTATCTTTCAATGGGGACTGAATGTTTGTCAACTGAAAGTACTCTGGGTACATTAGAATGGGTGTGGAAACTGTGTGTAAAGGGGCTTTTCACCATTCTGTGTGAGAAGGAAAAATTCTTTTGTTTCAGCTTATAGTGCCAATGTTTATTTTGCCGGACCATTAAAATTATATAGATACTGATGTGATAAATGATCACAATCGTATGTTTCAGCTAGATTCTAAATTTAAATCACTCTCTCCGGTACAGTTTAATGCATCAGACATTGTGGGTTTGAAAGCAGCACTTTAGGAGTGAATTTATTCTAACATGAATTTGGAAGCCACCCTACACAGAATTAATTTCTTGCAGTACAGACAATGGGATGAGTCACCCTTCCCCCAGCCCCACATTCTTCACGGTCATCCGCAGGACTAAGAGAGTTCTTTCCCATTATGATTGGGAGCTCTGAGCCTGAAGCGGCTATAAATTATCCTGGAATATTTTATAAGACATGTAAAATATGTTATGACAACCACAATGATAATTAAACAGACATTCTATTAGAATGAGAAAGAGAAATATGTTTATAATAATGTATGTAAATGTCATGTTCTCTTTTCTTCACATTCTGAATCAATAGTTTTCCTTATTGGACCACTTGGTTGAAAAGCTTTCCATTCTCCAGCAAATCTTGCCCCAGAATGATTTTCATGGCTACTGTCTGTAGAATTGACAGCCTTTGATTGTTTCTATATGGACCGTTCCTATGTTCTTTATGTTCTCCAAGTTCGTAGGCACATGAGTGGGAATTTTCCTCTTAGTTTCATACAGGAATTCCTTTTTTGTCCAAACTGCCCTATCCAGAGTTTTAAGATTTTGGTAACTAAATGAACTGTGAAAGTTGATTCTAGTGTTTTAGAGTCCCAACTGGAAAATGTGTTAATGTTTGAAATGGCAAAATCACATTAACAATAAATAACAAGTGGATGGTGAGCATTCTGTTCACTACTTTCAAAGGCCCAGCTCCACCAATACCAAAACATATGACCTTGGGCAAGTTACTTTGTAAGTTTTCTTCACCCATAATCAGGGGTAAAAATAAATGTCTAACACAGCCTATGCCATCTAATTAAAGAGAATCTAATTAAATAAATGGGCAATATCATTCAAATCACATAAAAATAAGGAGTAGTCAGACTTCTGAAAAAAAATTTCAAAAAATATTTACATTTTAAAATCCAATGTGTGTTGTTGTTGTTTCTGTCCAGTTCAGTGTGCCAGCATCTTTAGAAAGAAAATAAGGACATAGTTTCCATCCCACTAAAAGTTAGAGAGAGCAAAGTCCTTAAAGTGGTCATTCAAATGTCTTAAGGACACATAATTACCCAGGGATTTTTCCATGTAAAAATGCAAAATGGGACTGTAGCATAGTCTAACCAACAATCTAGAAATCATAATGCATCTGGATTAAGTGAGAAGGACAAGAACTTCATTGATGTTGGTCATGGTAGCAATTCCAAGAGCCCAGGATAATCAAGCTAAAAAATAAAAACCATAATTAATCTGTAGAGCCTCTCTGTTTCCTATCAGAGGCTTAACTCTGCATCCCTGGCTTGTTTCAATAGGAAAGAATATTGATATGTTGTTATATTATAGTGGTGACTTGTAGAAATTTTTTCCCTAGCAGGGGATACTATTAAATTGTCATCATACAATGGTAGGCATACCCTTGTTCCACACTCCTGTTCCATTTATCACTTCTCTCTGTCTAATCACCTACCCACCTATCTATGATCTATTTCATCTGAGATGATAATTTATTTTTGTTTCTTAAAGTTATTTATTTTTCTGATTTCCTATATTTTGGGGGAGGAGATTTCATGGAATTAAAACAAATCCATAAGTTTCTATTTTCTAGGCCAAATTCTGTTTGAATAACATTTGCTATTTGTCAATACAAAGTTAATTTTGCAGATCTTCCTCTAACTATGAACCTGGGGAGGAAATAAGAAAAGCAGAAATTACATCCTGGGGCTAGGCTAAAATATTAATAGTATCATTTGCATTAACACAGGGACCCTGTTTTCTGTGTTTCACCTCCACATTCAACCTAGACATATATAACTGAAAAGGTACAAAATTATGTTAAAGTCTAATAATTAATGATTGACTAATGTAATGGCAAATTGTATTTAATGGCTTATTTCTATTTCTCCCCCAATCTTTAAAGCATCCAGGGCCATGTATTTTGACATCCCACTGGAACAGGGAGAAACAAGTATTATTAAAAGGCATCCACCCCAAAGACTTCAAGTAAGATGAATTTAAAAGGCTTCATAAGGAATTTCTTGGATATAATGGTAACATCCCTTTTTCATCTATAATCGTAAAAGAGGGATATTGATAATGACCAAGCTGTTCATGAGACTGTTGTTAAAGAGAATGTTGTCAATTGCAAAGACTATACTACTTTAGGATTGATTTCCTTTAGTAATGATTTCACTTTTAAGACCCACAATCGAAAGAAGTGAGTATAGTAGCAAGGACATAGGCAAGTTGGGACTCAAGGGACAAGAATCTAGCACTGATTTGCTGGGTGACCATGGAAAAATCACTTGTAATAAACAATAATAACAACAACTACTACAACTATTTAATTGCCACCTATTACAAGTCAGATACTACATGAGGCAACTTGATCTATGTCATTCATTCAATCCTCTTATCCCCCTATGAGAAAGGAATTATTATGTCTGTTTTATACATGTGGTTCAGAGAGTTAAGTAACTTGCCCAGAGATACTCAGGGCCCAGATATCAACCGAATCTCCAAAGTCTGTGCTCTTACCTGTCAGCAGAAGTGATCTCTGTAGTTCTTCTATCCTTAACCTTTTATCGTTCTGGATGTTAACTGGTTGTTGTAATTGGGACACTGGATTTCAAGTCAGCAAAGCAAAAGCCTTAAATGCATTCACTTCAATAAATATTTAATGAATTCCCTCTGGAGAGCTACGAATTCTAAGAACTCTCAGCTTAGACGGGAAAGAGATGGGAGTGGGTCCCTGAAAATGAGCATCAGTTAAAGGAGAGTTTTAGGCCCTCCTACGAGCAGGATCTATCTCTGACATTTGAAAGAGAGAATTGAAGCCAAATCTCACCTGCTACATAATTCACCCAGATGCCTGGACCAATCCCAGAGATACTGAAGTTCATTTGTTGGGGATTATTTCTGTTTCAGTTGGTTTTTATTTACCTGTCTTCTGCAGAAGCTCACAATCATTATTTGAAGTGATTATATCCTTTGGTCCCTAAAGAACATGTTTTCCCAAAATATTAGAAACTTCAAAAATATTGTTTCAAGAAAAATAAAGTATAAATATAAGAAATATCCAATTTTAAAATTGTTTTAGTATATCTCTAGCTAAATGGACAATTTTAAAACTTGTTTTATTCCTAAATCGAATGCTTCCTTTCCAAGGAGTGTTTAATATTTGTTCTTTTGAAAACTCTAAGATTATTAACTCAAATATAAGATATTACTACAACCAGTGGAAATATTTGTATAGTACTCAATAGTTCACAAAATACTTTTTTGAACTCCTGACCTGGAGCAATCCTTCCACCTCGGCCTCCCAGAGTACTAGGATTACAGGCGTGAGCCACCGCGCCCAGCCCCTACAAAGTACTTTTTATATCTATCAGTACTAGACAAATAAGGTTAGGCTTATTCTGTCAGTTAATCAAACTCAAAAAGAGAACTTTCATATTTCAGAGTCAAACAGTGCATCCCCCTAACCTAACCAACCACCTTAAAAATGAAGAATCAAGAAAAGTGAATTAAAAGTGCAAAGACTATGTCTTATTCAGTCTTATTATCTTCAGCCACTAACACTTAATATGCATCCCCAAAAGTTTGTGAATTAATGAATGAACAGATGAATGAATGCCAATGAGATCCATCCTCCTGCAGAAGGAAAAAATAAAGCACTCAAAGGGCATTACCTTCTACTGCATAGCTGTAACATCACTGCATTAAAAGTCTGATTGACTAGCCAAATAACCAGTGTGATTAATTATAAGGATATAGGAATGCCTTATGAACCCAGGATCTAGGAGACACCTTGACTTCAGGTAAGAATTGTGCCTTGGAACCTGAAAGGCAGAAGAACTCACTAGGTGTCTGCCCTAACTTCTCCCCCGTGCATTTGCTTTACTCTCTCTCCCTGGAGATCAGCTTTCTCCGCTCCTCAGGTGCACTTCATAAAATCTGGCCTTGCATCTTATAGTTCCAATCAAATGGGCAGATTGGCCTAACTCTCTTGGCTCCAGTCCCAAATTCCTGGGAGAAAAGATCTTATTGGCTCAGCTTTGCTTATGACTCCAGCTCTGGTCCAATGCTCTGTGACCACAGGCTATGCTCATGCGGTAAATACGTGGGCAGAGGAGTCACCCCTGTAGATTCTGCATTTGTCTCCCAGAGAAGAGGGAAATCACTAGGAACTTGGCAGAAACTCCCAAAGATATCAACTATAATTATCTTCACAAATGAGGCTCAGCACATTTTCCACCACAAATGGGTTTTTGAGAGAATAATGCATGCTGGGTCTTCATGACATGTTAATTAATAGCCTAATCTCTGCCAAAGAAAATTCTAAAAGTATTTTTAATTATTAAACCAAATCTAATTGCATCCTCAATAATTTGAGTTGCATATTTGGCACTCTCCACTTCCTGAACATGTACTCCTCAAGTAAAGAGCAAGTCGTGAACTAATGTTCACCAGCCTGGAGCTCAGAGGATCTGGGAGTCTGTGCCAAGGAACTCTGAATCCAGCGTGCCTAGTGCCATATTGAAGGGCCGATCAGCACTGTCCCCTCTGGCCTGGTCACTTCTCATCCAACCATCTCAGGTCTAGCCCCTATATAGTCTGTCTTCAGATGATTTCCTTGGATAACTCCCGTATCTCCAAAGATTTGTTCATATCTTACTGTCCCTATAAGGCCTACCCTGACCAACCTATTGACAATCACAACCTTCATGCCAGCACTCTTGATTTCCCTGGCCCTTCACTGCCTTTTCTTTTCCCCAGAAAGCTAACTTCCATCTAACATACCAAACACTTTACTTATCTATTACCTTCATTGTGTATTTTCTTCACCACTCCCATACCTCCAATGCTAGGATATAATCTTCACAGAGGCAGGCATATTTTTTTTTTGTCTTCACTAATGTATATGAGTGTCTAGAACAGTGCCTGGTACATAATAGGTGATCAATAGGCATGTGTTGAATATTGAATGAATGAACGAATTGGAGAAGAGAGAAATAAAATCTGCTGGTGAGAGATAAGGGGGTGGTTCTGACTTGAACGGTTTCATTATGTTGTTTTTGAGTCTACAAAACCACGCAGATGGCACAGATTGCCATTTACTCAGATCCTCTCTTCGATCTTTCAATGTTTCATAATTTCTCGAGAGGAGTCTTGTGCAATATTTTTAGGTTTGTTTCTAGGCGCGTGTATCAGGTAGAGTTCAACCAGAGAAAAAGAACCACTAAAAGAAGATATATATTAAAAGACAATGCAAGGAATCAGCTTACATGATTGTGGACGCTGGCAAGGCAAATCCAAACTCCACAGGGCAGGCATTTGAAAAAGGTAGGCTGGAACTCCAGGGATTGAGCTGAAGCTGCTGTCCATGGGCAGGATTTCTTCTTTAAGGTAGCTTCAGCTTTGCTCTTAAGACATTTCAATGATTGAAGCTGGCCCACCTAGATTATCTAAAATAATCTTCCTTACTTAAATTCAACTAGTTATGGGCTTTAATCTCATCTTCAAAATCATCTCACAGCAACACCTAGATTAGTGTTTGAATAACTCAAGACTGTAGCCTAACCAAGTTGACAGGTAAAACTGACCACCAAAATATTTTACAGGGTTTTTCCTCCCTATTGTGAATGAAGTCTTTTCTTCCATTTAATTTTCCAAATGATTATTACTGGTGAATAAGAAAGCTATTGATTTTTGCATTCTACAATTTTATTGAAATACTCTGGCAATTCTAATTTTCTATAGACTCTTATAGACGTTCTATGCACACAATATCTTCCACAAGTGAGAATAATTTTTGTTTCTCTTTCTTCCCCATTCTTGTTCCTTGTACTTGTTTTCTTGACTTTTGCATTAGCTAGAACTTTCCTTGCAATGTTGAATACAAGTAATTGTAATGGACATCCTTGTCTTATCTATAACATTAGTGGAACTGGTTCTCAAACTAAGTACAATGTTTGCAATAGGATTTTTGCAAATATTGGTCCGAGGGTCCCAAAAGGAAAAACAGATGGCACACTCAAATGACGATAATTTAAGGAAGTTTTCTTTATGAGTAACTGTGCAACAGAGGTTTGGATTAGGGGAACCACAAAAGATATTGCAATAACCGCTAGTAGCAGCTGAGGGGTAACCACCTCCAGGCCATGGGACTAGGAGAGGGAGAAATTTCTGGGATTAAAAAGGAGAGAGTTTGGTGGAGGAAGCTGCTTTGAGAGAGGCAGCGACCTTCAAATGACAGACACAGCTATTCAGATATGACCTTGCAGGCATGTAGGCAGAGGAACAAGTACCCTGGTCTCATTATCTTTCCTCCTGTCAGCCATCCTTAGTGGCTAAACTCAATGGGAAGCTAAAAGGCAAGAGAAACTGCTTAGTCCTCACAGGCAGAGAACAAGGTAGAAAAATGTGGCAAGAAGATCTGCAGAAACAAATGGAAGATACCTGGCACAAGGCCCTTTGTTGAAATTATAGATATTTCCTTTATTCCTTGGGTGCTAAGAGATTTCTCAGGGTTGAGTGTTACATTGTATTGCTTTTTTCCTCCATCCCTTAAAATAATCATGGATTTTCTTTTTAACCAGTTGAGATAATGTATTACACTAATAGATTTTATGATGTTGAACCATACCTGCATTCCTGGCATAAATCCTACTTGATCATGAGATACATATAAATACATGGCTGAATTTAATTTGCTAAGGCTTTAAGTGTCTATTTTAACAAGGGAAGTAGATCTGTAACTTTCTTATCCTGTTTTTTCCAGCTTTGCCACCAAGGCTGTGTGAGTCTTATTACCTTTCACTCTTTCCTATTCTCTAAAACACTTGATATAACTCAGGTGTTGCCTGTTCCTCAGCAGTTTGGTAAAAACAGGTCTTTGAAACTGTTTTTGGACATCTGGACTCTTGAGGGGAGTGAAAAATTGTCCTGCTAACTAAAATTCTTTTATGGTTATTAGTTGATTTAGGTATCTTATTTCTTCTTGCTAATCTATATTTTCCTAGGAAATTATCCATCTATCTAAGTTTTAAAATTCTTTGTTATGAAGTCTTGTTTTCTTTGTATTCAGCTTTCTGATAACACTTATAACAATACATCTTCCAGCTCACATTTTAATGCAGCTCTTTTCTGCTGGGTAGAGAGGTGGAAAACAACTCAGCCCCTGACTTCAAACTATTCCTTGGCTTTATGAATTCTCAGAAATTCATAAAGCTGCCTTAATAGACATGATCTTAAGTCACGGTGCCAGACAAATTTTACTTTTCCATTGAGTTGTTCTGGCCCATCTTATTCTTGCTAGTAAACAGAAAAACCGTCTCAGATTAGTGTTTATCACCAAGTTCAGTGACTTATGGTCTATGGTTGATTTAGTCTCGATTCTGGAATCTCCCAGAAGACACGTCAACTGACTATGCTGACCATTTGTTTTGTTTGAGAAGCCAAATAATCCAGAAGTCTTTAGACAAATAATACATTCTTTAATATTATGAAATGAAAAAATAGGTTCATGCTACCAATTCTCCAGTAATTCCTTCCATTGTGTTCTCTCGGAAAATGAAGTGAGGCATCTTGCTTCCCAAGCATTCTGAGGCAACTTCATTCGATTGGTTTGTTTAGCCGAAGCCAATTTTCCCAACGTTTTTTCCTGCAGTGCTTCTCAGGCCAAGTGCAACTGATTTAACAGAGTTTGTTTGCAATGTTACTTGCTGCCATCTAGCGGCTTTTGTGAAGGAATAGTGTGATTCTTCAGGTGCTTTTCAAAGCACAGGAAGAAAGTAATGGCCTGGAGAGTTCTTCAAAACAGATACCACTTAACCTTTATCAGAACTGTGTATTTAAGTAGCAAGACTGAGAATAGAAGAAAGGGGTCTGTGATTAATTACATATTCATACTATCAAAACAAAAACCTAGCCTAAGAAATTATGGCTAGATGATTTTAAATAGCTAAAAAAATGTTGGCTTTGTCAGGCTCATTTCCTCAATAATGCTCCACAAACAAATACTTTGGTCTGTTTTGATGGCCTGTTTTGATGTCGTTCCTTGATTCACTTGAGACACTATGGAAGTAATGGACTCCAACCTAAAAAGAAATCCTCAGAATCCCTGGGAGAGTTTTGAAAAACACACATCCCCAGGACATATCCCAGATCTGTTGAATCTCAATCTCCAGTGAATGACCCAAGGATTTCTTTTTTTTAATTCCAGGAAATTCTGATGATAAAACATTTTGGGAAACAAATAGTAGAGAAAAGAGGATGGCATTTGGAACTGGGCAGACCTGATGCTTGAATACTGGAGATGACACTAGCTATGCAACTTTGGACAAGGCACTAGCCTCTCTGAAATAGGGAATCATCATAATTATCCACAGGGCTCACATGGGGATTGAATGAAATGACATATTTAAAATTCTGGGCATGATATGTAGCAATGGCTACAAAGTTGTATAAGCAAAATCAGAACCAAACCCTGAACATTCTCCTAATTCAGAGGATGAACAAACACTTCCTTGATCTCCCCCACCTCCAGAAATCCCCTTTAGCCCTGGCAGACTCTTCCTCCCATAGGTGTCTGCAGGGTCCCCTCTCCCTTGGCCTCCCTTCCCTTCCTCTCCTCCCCCTGTCTTTCCAGTGTGCTGACTTGATCAGCTGCCGCCTCCTGTGCCAGCAGGTCCCATTTGCTTTTCACCTTCATGTCCTATAGAGTTGAGAGCCAGGGAAACAAACAAACTTCTCTTACTAGTACTAATCTCTTACTAGTACTAACTTTGCTAAGTTATGTTAAAAGACCCACTTCCTCATCTGAGGTGAGAACGGGACAGAGAACCACTTCCTACCACAAATGCAAATGACCAGGCACTCGTCTAATGTAAAGATGAGTTCTTTCCCCTTGGTGCCTCTTCCCCCTCTCTGTATCCTTTGCCCTCCTTTTCTTCCTTGGGCTGCTCCAACAGAAAGGGCTGCTGGCTGCTCTTCCCAGAACAAGTCAGGGCCTGGTGCAGGGACCAGGAAATGGATCTACAGGGAAGTAGCTGTGGGGGGCCAGCAGGTGCTCCCCATTACAAGTGCTGGATACTCAGTTCATATTTTCTGTGGTCCTGCTCTTTCTTTTATCCTGGTCACCTTGAAAGCCAAGCTGGCATCCAAGTCTGCTCCTTGATAATGCAACAAATCACACCAAAATGAAAAAAGAATTTTTAAATAAATTAGCACTTTTCGTTCAGCGTTGGACTAAGGTGAGAGTGGTGCTCATGCTGATGGCCACAGCATGACGTTCTCCTCACTTTCCTCCTACTTCTCCAGCCATCACCTCCCAGTCTCCTTGGCCAGCACATCCCCAGCTGCCAGTCTCCCAATGCTGGAACTCCTCGAGTCAGCCATCCTTGGCTCTGCTCTTGTCACTCTTGACCTTGTCCACCACCTTGGCTTCACTCACACTCTACCCAGGGATGATTCCCAAAAATCTCCAGCACAGATCTCTCCTCTGAGCCCCATGCCTAGCTATCCACTCAACATCTACACTGGCATGTCCCGAAGGTGTCAAAAATTCAACCTGCTCCAAACCACATTTGTATCTTCTTTCTATATGACGCCAAACCACATCTTCCCCTAGGATTCTCCTTCTCAGGCGATGATAACACCATCCGCCTCTTGGATGGGGATATCATTTGGGCATTTGGAGACTCTACTCCCCTCTACCAACCATACGAATCTTGTTTGGTTCGGTTTAGATATTTGTAGAGTTCATCAATTTCCTTCCCTCAACACCAGTCCATCATCGTTGTCCTCCGCATTGATCTCCCCACATCCATAATTGCTCCTTGCTAATTAAGTTTCCATACTGCAACCAGAGTGATTAAAGCAAAAGTATTCATGTCACTCCTTTGTTTAACATGTGTCAATGGCTTCCCATTGCTCTTGAGAGACCAACACCTTTCGAATGGCCCATCAGGCCCTACATGACCTGACTCCTGCCTAACTTCCCCAGTCTCATTATGGGACACTCTTTCCCTCACTATGAACTGAAGCCATCCAACTTCTTTCAGTTCCTTCAACAGATCATGTAAGAAGGGCTGGGAGCAGATCCATTGACATGAATCTCTGCCCTGTCTCAGTGAGCCCTTGGAACTCCATCCAGCATGATCTCACCCATAAAGCCAAGTCCCTGCTAGGAAAAGACACCACTAAGATTTGTTAGCACATTGCACTTTCACTTTAAATGGGTCTCATAATCACTGTTGACTAACACTGAGGAGATGAGAAAGCTTCTTTGGAGACAACAAAATCAGGACATTTCCCTAAAAACTAGAATAGTTCAACTGGGTGGTTAAAGGATGAATAAAATAAAGTAACTTCCTGGTGCCTCTTTTATCAGTAATATTCTAAGACCCTGGTTGTTTGATAACTTTGGATGTGGTGCCTTAATGCAGACAGTAAAAGATTCTTAGTCTTTTAACTCTCTGACTAACATTTGGATCAATAAGTCACCGGCAATGGTGCAACAGAACAATAAAGGATCCAGGTACATTGAAAAGCCTTTTGCACAGATACAACTATAAAACTGCTAGAATCACCTTCCCTGCATGCTCTCAGCAATAAGTGCTGCTTTTCCAAAGTTTACTGTCTGTTTTATTGTGTTTTACCATCTCATGGCATGAGGAATGCTGAATGCTGACTGCTCTAAATGTTGCACTTGCAGAAGCTCGAACCCATTGACTTGCCACAAGTAATTACTTCTGAAAGGCTTCTGAGCCAGCGAGGAGCTGGGACAAAGCACAAAGCCAAGGTAGGCTGCGCAGTGACCGGAGGGTGGTTAACTGGGGGCAGGCTGCCAGGGACCAGGGTGAGCTGGCCTTTTCATGTACTCCCTGCACAGAAAAGTTCAAGGACAAATCAAACTGTTCAGCGATTCAGAGTCAGAGCGTTTTAAAGCTATTCCCTCTCTCCTGTGCCTGCCTCCAGCGGGCAACTGCTCTTCCTTTTTGGAAGCGATCTGGGCCCTTTTCTGTGCCATGATGAAAACAGGGCAATGCAGATGAGAGAGAAGAATTTTCCTTGGGAATTGGTGATTCTAGACATTTTCAATTCTGTGAAAAATCCAGCATGACTCTTCCCTTTCATTCCTCCCCTCAGTTTAAACTTTCTCTTCGTTCTCAGTTTGCAAGAGAAATCTTATCCATCATACAAATTGTCCCTGACTCATTCGCCACAGCCTCACCGAAAAGTGATGGTAGCAAAGGTCTTCCGTAGGTCTTCTTGCCGTGCACTGGGAGCGCTCTCCTGGGCAGGACTCCCCTCACGCCGAAATGACAGCGGTGAGGTGGGAGTGGATTTTAGACACTTTCCCCTCCTAAATTCATTCTGGAGCCAGCTAGGGCCTTCTGTGCGGCTGGCTGGCCTGGTAAAGGGAGTCCAGGCACTGTGGGATTCTAAAGGCCACGTTCCTGGTGTGGCAGCTCCTGTGGAGATGGGCCCCTCCCTGAGGTTCACATCACTGACTGTCACTGTCCACGGGGCAACACAAAAGGTGTCACCGAACACATCCCTTCCCTTTCCTGGCGACAGAAAATGACAAATGAAGGTATGTTCACCTCTGGCTGCCCTCAATAACTGTCTACACTGTCCCACTGGAGCTTGTGACTGACCAGGGGGGTGAGGGAAGGGATTATCAGAGTCACAAAAAATCAACTTCAAATCCTCCCTGAACTGCAGTGTTCTCCAAGGCGTACAATGGCACAGAGAAACACACTCTGTAGAAGTAGGTTAACAATTTAACATTTTGGTGGCTCCCTTCTCATTTCATAGCCAGCCCATCAGGCAAAAGAGGCAGAGAGAAATAGGAAGGTTTCATCAAACCAGAACACATTCCTGGGGAGAGGGTAATAAGCCTCTGTTGACAGGGGAAGTGATATCTTATCAAAAATGAGATGTGGAAAGAGATTTCCACTTAAGGTTTGCAAAACTCTACAGGAAACTTAAAAGCTACATCATCTACACAGCAAAGGGCCACTTCATTCACTGATAACACAAAGGACTTGTCAGGGACACAGGACAGTCTATCTTTGTTATCACAAGAGATCTCTGTGGATTATGATTGATTGATGAAGATCTTACTTTGTGCCAGAAAAGGATGTAAGGTTGTGGATTGCAGAGTTAGTAACCAATGGACCCCATACTAACGGTTGTTTCATCTTTCATATCAGGAACTGGAAAAGAAAATGCAAATGCCAATGTATACTTCTGGGAAAAGGCAATATTTGCATAAGATGCAAATGCTGGAAATGAACCGTAAAAGACAAGAGGTAAACATGAGAAGAGTGTCACATCTACCAAATTTATACCACACAACCACTGCCCTGGCACATGAATGCAGTCAAACATACATATCCAGTCTCTGCTTATCATTTTAAATTTGGTCACTAGAGCTGAAGGGTCAGCAATTAAAGCTGGTAAGAATCAGGAAGATCCCTTCTGTAACAGCCTTGTTGAGCCTTTTCTCTGTTTTCAGTCCTCCCAAAGATGTGTGTCTTAAGTCTCCCTTTTTAAAAATGGGTTGCTTCTATGACATTCTGGACATAGGGAAATGGGGCTAGCTCATTTTCACTGGTTTAGTAAAAGGGAGGGTGAATTGGTCTTTATTCTGATACCTAGGCCTCTCTCCATAACTCACACCTTAGAATTATCTTATAAGAAAGACCTTTTGTAACAAGCCCCTTTACCAATAATGTTCTCTAACTGTCATATTCCAAATTCCTCCCTCCAGGAAATAAGGAAATACTGCCCTCTGCAATTCTGAACATATCAGCTAGCCTACAGAAAAACATGTTCATAAGGGTGCTCATCCTAATTGAGCCATACATTTTTGAGCCTGTGGGTGTACTTGCCTTTCCTCTAACAAGCCTGTGAATAAAGGAAGTTTCCATACCTTCTAATAGGAAAACAAAAACCATGTTCTGGTTAGGGGACTGCAGACGGCTACAGATAAGCCTATGACTTGCAAAGTGGCTGATCTGCTAATCTATTCTGGTAAAGGTTGCTTGGGAAGAACATTAATCATTTATAGCTGATTATTTTCAGGCCCAAATGGAGTTGAAGAAAAGTCTTCACAGGGAAGCAAGAATGAATAACCAAAAACTGAGGGACCCTAAAGCCAAGAAAATCCTTCAAAGCATCCCAAGGAATAATGACCATGACCTTCTAACCATATTGCCTGATGAAACCTTGAATAGAAGTCCCGGTGAGTCATGTAAATTTTTTAGTAAAATATTTCGAGTGTTTTTTTTTAAATGTTACCAAATAAACTCCCAGGGTGGGTGGGGATGTGTTGAGAAGACAGCAAACAGCCTTGGGTTCCTGCTGAGATTTTATTTCCCAGAATATAGTGGGTAAGTTGTCATGTAATTTTGGATGGCTGGGAGGAAAAAACATAAACTTAAGCTTGGTAATAAAATGTCTCTTTCTTTTTATGAGTTTAATACTCTTTGCATGCATTATTGCAATCCATGCCCCATAACTAGGAGAAAAGGCAAAATAGCCCCATCTTGTGATTGGAGAGAATAAAGCACACAGAGATATGTTTAACTGCCTGCGGTCACATGGCAAATTTGCATCAGCCAGGACGGTACCTTATGCAGATGCACCTCTCCCCTGCTGCACCCTTTCTCCAGCAGGTCAACACTCTTTGGCACATTTAGAAGGTCTAAAATGAATCCAGCATCACTGCCCATCCAAGCTTGCTCCTGCTGCTGTATTTGCTGTCTCAGTGCGTCATGTCACTCAGGCCAGAGACCTGGGGCCTTTTCAGCCCTTCTTCTGTCTCTTCCTATAGCTGGTCAGTCACCAAGTTCTGTTGATACCACCTAGCACTGAAACCTGGCCCCCCTTCCATTCCCAATGGTATTGCCTTAGGTCCAGCCCTTGTCCTGTGACACCAGGACTCCAGCCATAGCCTCCTGACTGGGCTCCTCCCCTTAGGTCTGACTCTGTCCACCAGGCCTCCACCTGGGTGGCTCTCAGTATGGTCCCCAGGCTCCTAGCATCAGCATCACCCGGGAACTCGTTAGAAGGGCAGAATCTGAGGTCCCACCCCAGACCTACTGAATCAAGACCTGCATTTTATCAAGATCCCCAGGCACTTCTCACGTACAATGAAGTTCTAGAAGCACTGTACTAATATCAGTAATCTTATAAAATGCAAATCTGACCACTGTCATTCCCTTGCCTAAAAACACAATCTTCAGTGGTCTCTATCTGCCTGAAGACAAAGTCTAAACTCCTTAACACAGGACTCAGAGACTTTCAGGATCTGTCACCTATGCTCCTAGCTTCACCTTCCCGCTCCAGCCCCCACACTCCAGCTGGGCCAAATTGCTCTGCCCTCTCAGGTTGCCCTGTGCTTTCCAACCATGTCCACAACCTCTACACCATGGTGCCCCACTAATTAGAGCTCCATTAAGTTTTCCCTGTCTGCATTTGCCCAGGCAAGCCCACAGTTGCAGATATATAGTATTGTTCACCCACAGAGGTCACCGCGCTGTGAGCCAAATCCCCACATCAGCAGGGCTGACCACTAAGAGAGCTGCAGAAAAGCTGGCCGGTCTCTGGGGGTCTTGAGCTTCTAAGATGCAAAATCACATGCTGAAAGAGACACACTCCCCACTCAGAGGAACAAGATGCTTAATCATTAAGTTAATTAAATAAGAAAGAGCTGAATAATTGAAAATCTACTTGGGATATCTATTTAACCTATACTCCCAAGACTCAGAATGAAATATGCTTTGTAGTCACATAAACAACTTCTACAACTTAAAAAAAAATGCCTTTAAAATATTTATGTGAAACCAAGAAAAGAGCCGCAGCTAAAGGTAGACACTTGGAGTCATCTCTTGAGAGAAGGCCAAGAAAAACTAGCATTTGCGAAGTCTTTGAAAGACACCCCGGAGCTGGAGGGGACCAGGAGAAACTGGCACATGGAGAAAGGGGTTTTCCTCTGCTCTCCCGGAGCTTTTTAAAGCTGCTTCATTTGTTCAAGCTGAGGTTTGTTGAGTACTTACTATAAGCCAGGTCCTGTGGTCCACCTTTAGCATGCATCATCTCATTTAATCCTCACACAACCTATTTAATAGAAAGTAGGAGTTACTATTTGCCCAGTGTGACAGAGCCAGGATTCAAGGCCAGGTCTTTTTGACCCGCCCTCTCGCATGCCCTCATCAGGACACCAAGGACTCAGAGCCTGGTCAAGGACAGCCCTGATCTCCTCAACCTTATCTTCCAGGAGCAGATTGCACTCTGTGACTTCTGAAAGGAAGTGAGAGCAGCTGGTGGACATCAGTATTCATGTTCTCCTGGAAGTGACAGGGGCGGGGAGAGGGAGACTAGAAGGAGTAACTCAGGCAGAAGCCAGTTCAGGTGCCAGTCTGGGAGCAGTGGCTGCATCAGTGGTGCCCATCCCGGTCACCAGCAGAACCACCCGGGGGCTTTTCAAAAACACCCAGTCTGGGGTCTCAACTTCATCTTACTGAATCAGAATCTCTCTAGGTTAGGGGTGAAAGAATTTTCCTTTTTAAAAGTTCCCCAAGTGATTTTGAAGATTAGCCAAACTTTGATGGACTAGATAACCCTTGAGAGCTCTTTCAACACTTCAATTTTGTGAGAATCCTTTTATTTGTAATGATTCTGTGTGTGTGTGCATATAAATACACATGACAAAATGAGCCTAGAAAATGCAAATTTTTCTAGCGTGAGATAGACAAGAAATTCTAATTTTTTCCATTATAATGAAATCACAATTAATTAGAATCTCATGGAATGAGACATCTGCCTCAACTCATTTGCCTATTGCTGAAGTTGTTGGAAGTAAGGCAAGTGAAAGTTATTTGATGGTGGAGAGATTGCAGTGCCTGCAGTTTACCATACCATCCTGTGCTTTAATTCTCATTGTACAGCCATTTACATGTGAAAGTGAAAGATATTGGAATAATAATGGATAGAGCTAGTATTTATAAAGTAGCTCTAAGCATTCAAAGTGCATTATGTAATCACTGTATCAACTTTGTGAGGTGAGGATTATCACCACCTCTCTTTTACAGATGAGGAATCTAGATCCAGAGAGGCCAAGTCACACATGCAGGGTCACAGCCAGCCAGTGAGAGGTGAAACTGATCAGTGCTGCACACACAGGGCACCTGACTCCACAGCCAGGAGACTTCACCCCTGCTGCTTGGCATATGTTCTAGCAATGATTCCTTTTTACTTATTCCCAGAGAGCATCTTTGATTTCTTTCCCTGTCTTCTAGAAGTCGTTTGCTCTGCTTTCTCCTAAAAGTGGAGTATAGCCAAGATCACATACTTCCATGAGCATTCTGCTAGTCAGAGTCTGGTAATTAAGGTTCCTCTGCACCGTCTCCGCTTACTTAATGATCTATTCGCCCATTCCTGTTCCGCTTTTGAAAAGTGGGGTTAGAGTTTTAGCTCTCTTATGAGATAAAAGTCAGTCTTTGTTTTCTGCTGCCTCTTTAAAATGAAATCACTCACACCTTAACATATATTTTACATGCATTTATATAATAAATGATACACATGATCATATAATTAATATAACTATATATAATATACACAAAATGAGGATCACTCTTTTTGGTGTACAATCCTATGAGTTTTAATGTATTTATGTGGCTCCTCCTGCCCTTTCCAGATGCCATGACATGAATGTATGGAGAAGAAAGAGCACTGGAATCAGAGTCCTTCCCTCAGTCCCAATAGTGCATTTATTATATGTCTCTCCTTGACAGCAGGGACCTTTCTCATTCCTAGAATAGTGCCTGCTAGCACATAGTATCCTCTCAACAAATATAAACTGTATATTTTTCTATATAGCTTTAATCTATATAGATAGAGATTATATTATAGCTAAATTTCAGTTATTTAACCTCCGTGAACCTCAGTTTCCACATAGGTAAAATGGGAGTAAAGTATTGTCTACCATATAGAGTTTATGTGAAAATTATTCTAATAAGTATAAAAGCACATTATAAAATGTAAAGTGCCAGAGAAATGTATAGGACTATGGACAAAACTGAAGAAGGATGGAATTGATGTCATATAGTGAAAACAACTGTATGCTTCAGGGAAGGGTCACCCTAAATCCATCATTTAAATGTCACCTTCACAATTCTGGTCTTATCTGGCCACCTGAACTAGTTTTCTATAAAATATCTTGTTGTGTTCTGTTTTTTAAAATATACCTTTGTGAAATAACTGTGACATTATTGGGTTTGATATAGTAGTGATGCATTTTTTCTAAAACACATAAAAAACACAAGCATCAAGTATTTTTCATGCTTTATATGATCCTTGTACTACCTAAATCACTTCCTATTTTTCTCCCACTGGCATCTGTTGCTTTCTTCTTTCCCCAAATTAATTTTGAATTAGGATACACTTTCCTCTACTCTGCTCATCCAAACTCCATTTAGGTTTGGTTGTGTTTTTATTTTTATTTTTTTAAGTCTATTAACCATAGAGAATACACAGGGCTTTATAAAAATGTAACAAGTAATAAGACATATAGCTCAGAAATCCTCAAATTTTAATGCTGTGTGCACAAAACTATGTGTATAATACCTTATGAGTGACAAGGGATTGATTTTCAAGGATAAAACTGAACGTGTGAATTTTGTCTCACACACTAACTTTAGACCTGAATTATCATAACATCAACAGTGTTGTGGGACTTAAGCTATCATTAATATTACATTAGATCCCACCACTAACAGACATTCTCTTCCTGTTTCAAAGCTTCTGCCTCTAGCTGGATGTTCTGGAAAATTCCTCTTCCCAGTCTGAGTGATGTCTTTAGTCATTTTTGGCTCATTTACAGAGAGGATTGACATCCCTGAGCCCCAATGAATGAAGCCTTTCCCAGGTCCTAGTTACCAATACTTCCCAACTTCCCACCTCCCCAAATTCTCTGATAGCTCATTTGTTCGTTCATGTATTCATTTATTCATTTGGCAAATACTTAATAAACATACACTAGGTGCCAGGCATTCGTCATATGGTGATGAGCCAGGTACATGTGGTTCCTGGCTTGTGAAGCTTACAGAGTATACAGATACTGAACAAAGAAATGTTAAATGAGAGTATAACTGGAAGACCTATTAATAATATCTATGGAGTCAGAGAAGGTTTCCATGAGGAAGTGACTTTTAAGCTGAGACATGAAATAGCTGGAAGAAG